AGAGTTAGACCATGAGTCCATCTAGCTCCGTATTGTTTGCACGGACTGGCAGTGGCTGTCCAGGTTTTTCGGGCAGGAAGACACTCTCAGCTCTTGCTGGAGATGGGATCTGGGATGTTCTACCTGTGAGGCAGGTGCTCTGGCACTGAGCTCTGACCAGGCCGGTCTTGACTTGCTGGGGCTTCTAGGTTCACACTTTGACACGAGTCTCTGGCCTGGTTACACATGAAGAATACAAAACGCCGACTCTTTTGGTTAAGTCCCGTTTCCTGGTCTGGTGAATCATTCGTTTAAGTATGCTGCAGAATAGTTCCTCCTGCCATTAAGTAGTTATCTGAGGGGGCCAGTATGGAAAATGAGCTTTCTGGGTCAAACGAAACCAGTGTTCAACACTGCCATGTATGAATAATAGGGGAAGGGTGTTTATATGAACCAATCAAGATGTTGAAATGTCAGTATGAGTTCCGACACTTTGTGTTGCGTGATCTTTCTTTGCTTTCTCATTTTTCCATTCTATTGTAAATTACATTTCACTTTTCCATGTGTGTGCTTAAAAATCCTCTTCCCTTAGTTTGTGATCTGTATTTATTACTGTCTACATTTACAGTGAGGGGACGCGGGTGGCGCTGTGGGTAAAAGCCTCAGCGCCTAGGGCTTGCCGATCGAAAGGTCGGCGGTTCGAATCCCCGCGGTGGGGTGCGCTCCCATTGTTCGGTCCCAGCGCCTGCCAACCTAGCAGTTCGAAAGCACCCCTGGGTGCAAGTAGATAAATAGGGACCGCTTACAAGCGGGAAGGTAAATGGCGTTTCCGTGTGCAGCTCTGGCTCGCCAGAGCAGCGATGTCACGCTGGCCACGTGACCCAGATGTGTCTGCAGACAGCGCTGGCCCCCGGCCTCTTGAGTGAGATTGGCGCACAACCCTAGAGTCTGTCAAGACTGGCCCGTACGGGCAGGGGTACCTTTACCTTTACCTTTTTACATTTACAGTGGAATAAAATGGCCGAATGGCCTATGCTAGCTGGAACTACAGATTTGGAGGGGGGGTTGTTGTGGGAATCAAGTTTTAATTTTCCCTTGCGTTTTTTAAAATGTCCTTGCTAACAGAAATCTAGCAGAGCAAGAGTAGACCGGGCTGAACCTTCGTTCCCCGATGTGCTCGTTCTTTCCTTGTTTTTGTTTGAGTGAGCGTTCTAAAAGTCCTCCTTCATGCCTAAAACAGGCATTAGATACTAGATTGCCCCCTGGAAAGTTCCTTTTGCCTCTGGAGGTTCTGCAGGGAAACTCGTTCCATCATTTTACTGCATTGTAGTGGCTTCTTGACTCAGCCCCAGGTAAGGATAGCTCAAGATGCTGGCCTTAGGGCAGCCACACTGTAGGCAGACCCAGCTGTTCCTCCTCGGGAATTCTGTAGCAATTCAGGAAAGAGTTCTTGGTACCCCTCATCCATTTATAACTTATTTGGGGGAAGTAGGTTGTGACAGTTAAAGGGATATAAAATTGGGTGGGTTGTTTTTGTAGCTGTAGGATAGATAGGACCTTAACTTCGATATGCCCTCATTGTGAGGTTTCCCCCGTAAACAGGAACGTTGTCCACGCCAGCGACTCCCTGGAGACAGCCCAGAGAGAGATCAGCCTTTGGTTTCGCAGCAACGAGCTGATAGACTGGGATTGTTGCGATCAGAAAATCCTGTACGAACACTGAGGACCTGGCTTGGTCTACACCCCAGCACGGGGCCTACTACCTCTGCCCTTGGACTGCCTTTCTGAAGCGATCCATGTTCCAGTCTGTGGATGGTGTTTGGAGGAGGGCGGGATTATTGCACTTCAACCACTTTGGCTTTCCTTGGGAGGGGGCAAGGAGCAGGCACCCCCTTTGCACAGGCCACACCTTGCTCTCTGCCATGTGCACCACTGTGCTACTTGATTGGAGAGATTTACATCCGTGGCAGAAAAGTCATGGAATTACGGGTCTCACATTAAAAAAACCAAACTATTTCTATAAACCTGGTTCTGTTCTTTGTGCCTGGAAATTGGAAGTCTTGTGTTTGGGCCTGCCATCAACTTGTAATCCCTTTCTCTGTTTGCATCTCTACATTAATGAAGCTAGCCATTTTGCTGTTTTTAAGGTGATGTATGAGTGGCCACCTGATTGGGAATGGACAGCCTTGTAAGAGAAGAATGCAGGAAAATATGATTTAGGTAAAGATGGTCTTTTGCACCTCAACACCGCAGGAACTAGGTGATGATGCATCACCTAGCAGATTGCCTCACCTGATATATGCCCCATTTACAACTTCAATATACCCAACTGGTACAGGTTACACACATACCTGTTCTGCATTGGTAAGAAATCAATCTTTTTAACATGGCAGCACCTAAACTTTGAGACTCTCTGCCTGTTGACATCAGGCAGGCATCTTTGCCGTACTCTTTCCCACACCTGCTAAAAACATTGTTTAGGTAAGGCTATCCAGACATGCAGAATGTGTTTCAGTCTGGTTTTTAGCTTCTTGTCGATTGTAATTATTTAATGTTTTTAAGAGGTCTTTTTACCTTTATTTTAAGCTGATCATTTCATTATTTTATTCTTTCTGTAAAAGCTGCATTGAGGCTTTGTGTGTGTTTTTTACAGTCAAGTTGTATATCAGCTTTATGAAATAAAAGCAAGCATCACCACAAAAGGCTCCTGAACCAAAACAAAGGACACAGATTCACATGCAACTTGCATATGCTAATTAGTATGTGCACAGTGGAGAAAGAAGTCCTATACTTTAAATAGAAAAGCTCTCAGCACAGTGGGGAGGACTGTGTCCCTGCTTAGCCTTTCCTTCACGTGCTTAAATGTTGATTGGCACCTTCAAGGACCTTTCTTACGGTTCTCTTTGTTTTACTACAGTCCTTCAAACAGAAGACTGTCCTCTCTAAAGGAGGGTTTGTGGGTACCCTGGTTGTGCCCGAGAAAATTATGTCCTTGGCCCTACCTGTGAGTCTTGTAACTCATTCCTATTTACATTAATTGTCACAGGGAGAGTGAGGAAGACAGAAATGTTGCTTCCTTTGTCTAAACACTTCAGAGCAATAAAGGGCACATCGCAGCAGAAAAGCACCTAAATTCCAGAGGCTTTGCTAGCTTTTGCGTTGGATAACATGGTCAATTGCAACAGAAAAACTTGAATAAGGGCTGCTGTTTTCCCAAGCAGGAGTTTAACAGACTTAGGTGATTTTGTTTGAGCTTCCGTCTGGTGCAAGGACCAGAATGACACAAATCTTACTGAGTTTGTATTCAAGCCGACATTCCTTGCCTCATGAAAACGTATTTCTAAGGGCCTCCTTTGTTGGGGGGATCTGGCATCCTATGACATTCGCACAAGGAAAGTTGCTAGCCATGTGAAGATCTTAAAGCCCAGAGGTAGGTAAGAGGGGGCTACTTTCTCAGCAGAAACTGCTGCCTTGTGGTTAGTGGTGAACTTTAGCATAGATTCTGAGGGGCAATGAACCTGGCCCAATTCTCCAGAGCAAACCATACGCTTTTGTGGGCAGAAGGTAAATAGCCACCCAATCTTAGGCACGTTTGCTCTTTGCAGTCCGTCCCACTGTCTGCAATGGGGGCTTCTTCCCATATAAAGACCACAGGACTGCAATGTACACATCTCTAAAACAGTAGTTTTTTAAAGCAATTTGATGGCACTTAGGTTTTCCCACCGCAGGAGAGAAAACTATATGCCTAAGCAATGCAAAAGATTGAAAGCTAGGGCCCGCATGTAGACAGGGCAGCTTGCATGAATGTTAATAATCTGCTCTGCTCCACTGCTACTTTCCCCTCCTAGCGACAGGACATTTGTCTGCTCTCCAGTTCTTTGGACCCTTGAAGATGGGGAACAAGAAGCTGTGTTTCAAGTTATTTTGGTTGCCAAGTGATTAGTCTTGATGGCTTGGAAATCTCAGCATGCTGTCTGCTCCTGTGTGGCTGCTGCAACTGGCTGTTTTTAGGGAATAACAATTCCCTTCCCTATCCAGCCAAGCAAGAGGCCTGCTCACAGTTCAAGGATGCATTCCAGGCAGGCAAAAAGCACTCAAGGGCCCAGCACAGAATCACCAGGCATGTGAGCTGGAAATAGCTGGGGCCACATTTAGCCCCTGAGCCTGCGCTTCCACACTCCTATCTTACTCCCACCCCAACATGCAGAGGCTTTGGGGTAATTTGGGAATGGTTGAGGGACTTGGGTATGTTCAGCATGGAGACGACTGAGCGGTTGGGCCACCTTCAAAGATCTGAAGGGCCGTCACATGGAGGATGGAGCAGGCTTGTTTTCTGCTGCTCCAGCGGGGAGGGCCCAAACAAATTGATCCAATGGCAAGAAGAGAGATTCAAATGAAGCATTAGGAAGAACTTGCTGACAGCAAGAGCTGTCTGTGACAGTGGAACTAACCCCCTTGGACGACAGTGGATTCTCCTTGGTTGAACTCCCAGGTATCCAGAAATGAAAAACGTTTTGGAAGTCCCAAATGGAGGAACAGCACCTTCCTACCAAAATAGCTCAAAAGAAACGGAGCATTTTCAGTGACCTCCGGGAGCAACTGAATGTCACGTGTTCCTTGGAAAAGAAATACAGAAAGGGATTAAGGAGGAAGAAATGAATTGGACAGTTTTAATTTATAGTATCCTGGACAACTAGAACTGCAGATCCGCACTCATGTGGGACACTGCGACATTCTGCTGTAGCTCCCATTTGTGGTATAGCCCTGCCCTGAACATTTGCTGTAAAGTGCTCTGAAGAGTGCCATATAAATGCCAAGTTTTTCTTCACGTGCCCAGGGTATCTATTGCATTAGTCCACAGAAAGGTTTTCCCATTCCTAGGTCCTTCCTTCCCATTTTTGCAACATCTATAATTAAACTTACTCCACTCTCTTCGGTTGCTTGACAGTAGAGACAGGGCTGAGTTGCTCATGGAAATTTCAAGCATTAAGGGTTACACCAAAACAGACGGTTCACTCCGAGCCACAAAGATAAGCTTTTAATGTGAATGAGACTGGCAAGAGAAGAGCGTTTTACTTACATCTTTGTTACTTAGACCAATATCCCTCAAAGGCAAACAAAGGTGCTGTTAAGGATCAAACTGCTCATACTAAACATAAAAACCCCACAGAGGGATGAATTCCTAATATTTTATACACTCAATACGATATGCCTTGCTGGCTTCTCACTGCGTCCTCTGACTTTCCAGAGGGCAACACAGTCTAGGTCTGAGCATGTCCAGATATTACCTGTCCCAATGGGCAACTGTAGGTCTGAATCCGATTCCCCCAAAGGAAACACATCTGCTCCTTCTGCTGGCTCATTAGTTCTCCTGGTAGTCACTCACAAAGACACAAAAGGCTGAGAGCACACACACTCAACCACTCCTCTTGGGGCGGGGGGGGGGGGGAGGTAGAATTCAGCAGTGAGAATAAAACGGAAAAGAAACTTGATTAAACATGCATTGATGAACACAATTCTGCAGCACAAAAAAAGGGAAAAAAAGAAGTTGGAGGGAAGAAGAGGCACACAGGAATTGGTCAGTAAGCTACTAGATAATTATACAAATAAAAAGTCAAAAACTCCTAGTACCCTGGACACCACTCTCTGCAGCAGCACCGTGACTGTTTTCTGCTGCCACCAGCAGTTATTAAAAGAACCTGAAGTACATGACTATGATTATGCCCCTCTACCTCTTTGACACAACCCTACCAGTTGTGTTTCAGGTTGTCACCGCAAATGCAGTCTTGACAGCATTGCAAATCTGCTTAACTGCCGCCAACAAGAATAGTGCATCTTGCTCCCCCACCCCACCCCTCTGTAACTGCAAAATCAATCTAGATGTGGGAGTTGTTTGTTTGTCCCACGACAGAGCTCCCCATGCCAGGTCCTCATCTGCCAAATTGGTAGAGTCATTCTGTGCTATTGTGAACACTGCTCTTAATGGAATTGCTCTAACGTGCCTTCCGGTTTGAGGCTGCAGTGTGAGGAATCCCATCCCACTTACACCAGGACCTCTCCATCAGGGAACAACATTATTTATATTCAGTGGGATCAATACTGGCAACCTGGAAATTAGGAAGCAGACACAGAAAAATGAAGTCCCGAAGTGCAAAATTCACACTGATGAGTTGCATAACTTGACAAAATAATCCAATTAACATCCATTTAAATTTTAAATGCTGTGCTACTTTCACCAAGCTCTAAATACAACTACTACAACAAAAAAGAAGAAGAGATATTGTGCCATGTTGTACAGCTGTCCCAAAACAACTTTATTAAGCTAGGCTGTGGTGTAGGTTACTTTTGACCAATCTGGCTTGTTCATATTTAGCGAAGTCTTCGATATCAGAAACATTACATGAACCTGCCATATTTAGAAAAGGAGGGGGGGGAGTACCAGCGCTGCTGAGGTTCTTTAGTATGTTATGAACTCAAGTCTGCAATAGAAAGGCAAGTGATGTTTTAACATAGGCAGGTGGAGCACGAGTTTTTACAGCACGTTATGATCCCGCCACCCCACATCTTCTGCCTGCTTCTGCTGCATTCTGCTTAAGTCGCTAAACTGCACTGAAGACCAGCGACTGAGTTTGTTTCTTTCAATTAAAAGACAAAAGTCTCAAGTCAACAGTATAGGAAACTGTCACACTACTGGCTTTGCTACCTGCAGAAACAATAGAAATTCAGAACTACAAAAAATGTGCTGTATTCAGTTAATATAAATGAGAAAAATTTGGGCTGTGTAGAACATTTCTCAAGACTATATATACAGTACAATACAGATCGCGGCCGGAGTTCAGATCTCGCCGGCTTCCCTCTCTTCAGATCTCTTAGGGTGAGATTTGCCATTCGTGCTTTCGTGTCGCCGTTCAGAAGAGCTCTTCTCTTTCTTGTCTCTTTCCCGTGATTTCTCCCTTGAAGACCGATCTCTAGAGGATCTGGAGAGCAAACCAGAGCATACTGTAGGGCTCTAGAATGGAAAGTGCATGTGTGTCTGTGAAAACATTTCAGACCAGAAAAGGGAACTGTGGACTTAGCCTACCAATTCTCCTTTCTGGACCATGGGCAGAAAGACAGCCCAGATGGGCGGGAAGAGCCACCCTCCAGGGTTGGTAGACATTAAGCACAGGGTGAGGTACTACCTAAATCCAGAGTCAGGGTCAAGCACTAGATGCAGAGGTTCATAAGCTGAAATCTACAAGCTGCAATCAGGTTGCCCATGGAAAGACTATAGAACAGTTAACAATATTGCAGAACTGTAGAGTGGGACGGGACCACAAGGGTCTCCAAGTCCAACCCCCTGCAGCTACAGGGATCTTTTGCCCAATGTGGGGTTCAAATCCACAACCCTGAGATTAACCAGTCTCATGCTCTACCAACTGAGCTATAGATATCTGTGCACAGCCCTTTTTGCTGGAAACAAAAAATGAGAAGCAATGCTATTTTGATCAAGACTAGACTGTCAAACAGGCCAAGGGCCAATATTTTCATAATATGGTGCTGGTGCAATCAACTCATCTCCCCCCCCCCAAAAAAAATCAATCCATTGAAGAAGGGTCCTGAATGGCCTGTCTACTCTTAAGTCCAAACACAGGACGAATGCTGACCTGAGGAAAAAGCTGACAAGCTCTCCAATCAACATCACTCACAGAAGCAGCATGCCCACCCCATTTGAAAGACACAGGACTATGGTTAGAAAAAGACAAATTATGCATATGCTTTGATTTCTAAAAGAAAAAATGATGGTTCTTAAGTGGTCTGCCAGGATCCCTGATTATTTTCAAATGGACTGTGGAGAATGTGCAATAGAGCTGAAGCCTGCTGGATCAGGTGTGCTATGAAGCTCACTGCAGGGAACTCTAAATATACCAGATGACTGGGATGCACAAGGTGCTTTGAGCTCCCGGCTTTGAGACTTCAAAGCACTGGGCAACCTGTGATGTCAGGTGACTGACAGGTGTGCAACCTCACCTGCCTCTTAAATTTGGCCCACAAGGTTATATTCTGATAAGCCAAAAAGGTTCCATGCCCCGGATCTAGGGAATGGACCACAATGACTCACTCTAGGATGAGATTAGTCAATCAAATTCCAGGCTTAGCAACATAGAGGAACAAAACTCTAAACTCAGGAACTAAACTCAGTGCAATGACTGCTGAGCCCATCTGCCCAGGACCAGAAAAGTAAACAATACAAGTTTGCAATAAAATGAATTTTGTTCAGTTATTTTTCTGTTCAATCAAACCTAGAAATTCAACAATGACATCAATACTAAACAAGGCTCTTTCCTAAGCTTCTACACTGTCACAAATCTGTTCTTTGTGCTTTAGGGAGTTCCCCTGCTTCCCTCTTGGCTAGTAACCAATTTCTTTTCACAACTTGTTTTTTATACATCTCTCACACATATCTACTCCTGTTTTATCCCTCAGTTCATCCTATACCTAGATATTTCCTTCCTTCAACTGTGCCGTACACCCTGAAGCCAGCACAATGCAGGGTTAAGTCATTTGGCCTGTTTCCTGTTTCCCCCTCCCTCCTACCAAATCCCAGTTTACACAAGTGCTTTACAAGTATGACTTGTTCAGCTGTGAGGGTGTTTTATTTTAAATTTATGTTTTTTCTGCTTTGCTGTCTTGGGCTTCTCTGGGAGGAACAGTGAGATAGAGACTGATTGATCCAACCAACCAACAAACCTGACACAATGCCCATCGCTATCAGATTTGATGTGAAAACGGGGAGGTGACATATTGCCAGCCCTTTAATTAGCAGCTCTCTTTATGGTGTGAGACTCAGTAAGTGCCCAGTGATACTGGCCCCTGATGCCAGCCCAGATTGCTACAGTCACCATCTGTGAAAACAGGAATCGTAACAGAGAGCCACTCTTGTACAGCGGTGGGCTTAGAAATGAAGTTAAGAACCCTGAGGCTGAATGAGGCCGGTGGCCCATCTACTCCAGCATGTTGTTCTCACAATGGCCAATCAGATGCTTATGGGAAGCCCACTAGCAAGACCTGAGCACAACAGCCACCTTTCCTCACTTGTATTTCCAAGCAACTGGCGTTCAGAGACATACTGTCTCTGACAGTGACCTGCGAAGGTGATCTTGGCACCCCATCCTACAGGGGGAGTCCCACCCACCATATGAATATGTGCATACACACACTCTCACTCTCTATTTGTCGTGCCTAATTTACTGCACCTCATAGGGTCACTGTGCACCTTAAAAGCACCTCCTGTCTCACTGGAAGAATTGCAGGACATAAATGTATGAAATAAATTAAAATTGTTACCCTGGGATAGGGACTACCATAACTACACAAATGCTAAGCATGACAAAAGTGATCAGCTAAAAGGGGGGGGGGGCTGCATACACACAGCGGCTTATAAAAATTCAAAGCTGCAATGTGGATGCCAACTTTGTCCGATAAGAAGCACAAGCATTCAGTCTTTATACCAAAAACCAACTAAGGATAGCAACAAATTAGGCTCTAAGCTTCTACCAAGCTGAGAAAGACAATCAGCAACTCAAACACAAACAGCTTTATTTTACAGGGAGTTTCTCTAGAGTGGACGTGGTCAACAGAATTGGGGGGGGGTCAATATCAGTTCTCCTACAATGCTTTTATTATTCTATGCTACATCAAAACACTATAAGGCTTATTATTTATTTATTTATTAAATTTATTAGTCACATGTTTGCCACAGCAACTCAAAACAATTTAAGAGTAGTTGAACTGTTGGCATCTAAATGATAAACAATGCAAAAGCAGAAGATGGGAATAGCCCAAACATCCGCAAATTATTCAACTCTTTACCCAACACAGTCTCTTATGTATCATTTTGCATCTTCTTGAAGCTTCAGTATCTACTGTTGAAATGCTGACTTTTTTAGGGATGGCAACATATCAAAGTATGATTTCTATTTTGGAAGAAATAAAACACTTCATTTTCTTTTGAGACTTCTTGTGCCTTCTCATTTTTAATTTTTAACTGTTCCAGAAAACATGACTGATACAGTTCCTCCCCGCCAAGGGAACACTTTGAGATGGGCTATTGTACATTTGGGTTTTCTGAAGCATTCCCTTACCTGCTCTTTAGCAATAGTAATTACAGGGTCTTCCTCATTTCCTAATTGTCCAAACTTCTTTTCTTTATTGTTCATGTTCAAGACAGATTTAAAAAATGAATTTAGTATCTCAACCATGAGTCAATAATTTCCACATACCCCATTTCTAGCAAACCTACTTTCCAATACTCATTTCCCTTCATAGAGAAGAGAACTGCAAATGCTCTTCATTTCTCACTTGCTCATCTATTGTTGACATCAATCCAGTGAAAATGGTGAACAGAGACTAGGTTTCCCCAGGCTACCTGCAATACTGCTACGGATTACCAGTAGCTGGAAGTTACTAGGCACAGCTGTACATCAGGAGGCCACTTGGTTAATATGCTTGCATGCAGTAGATCTGAACTGAAGTGCTTCCTGTTAAGCTTCTCCCAGGATCAGAACTACAGTATTTTTAAAGAAGTAGAATCCAGTTAACCATGTGGTGGAGCAATTCTGAAGCATTTATAGCCAATCTGGGAGCACTTCTGGCCATCCAGCATGTTACTGCCCCTGTTCACATCAAGCCTACCTCCCTAATAGTAATCCTGGGTTATTGTTTACCCTCAAAGCAATTAAAGCACAGTGTGCCGGGCCACCAAAACCTACACAGCACCTGAGAGAGCAGCGCTAGCGATTTGGGCCTCTCTCAAGTAGAAATGTATGTGCCTGTCTCAAATCCAGTAGATCTTACCATTCCAAACAAACATTCTGGGTCTGAGAGAATTCTCTCTGCTACTTACAGAGGAATGAGCATGCTTTTGAGCAGATGCAAGTGTTGCAAAGAAGTAGGGAAGCCTTGTCTGGTGATGTGCAAAGTCACCCTTACAGGTCTAGTCCACGAGAAATCCAGTGAGTCCCAAATGGCTTTTGGAGCTCATGGACAACATCTACACATCCTACCTTCTAGGATGACAATGGGAGAAAGCAGCACATGCCTTCAACTTCATTCCCTGCTTAACTGTATCACGTGAACCAGCTCTCTTCAACGACCCACCCCATGGCAGCCTTGGGAAGGAGTTTGAAGCAATCCCTATTTTCTCACTGTTTCTCCAATAGTCAGCTGAACTCGTTTCTCATGGCTAAACTACAAGTCAAAAAGTCTTTCCCCAAGAGGTTGCAAAAACCAAGCCTACTTGTGTTTTGAACTCCTGTCTCTGGATCCCCGCCGGTGGCCTCGGCTATGGCTGCCAGAACGGCTGCGATGGCGCCTGTGCCTCTCTCGTTCCCGGGACTTGGAGCGGGACTTTCGCTTCTCACGGGAAATGGACCTCGAACGTCTTCGCCTCCGCTCTCGAGAGCGAGACCTGCAAGAACCAGGAACAAGCAGTATAAAACCCAGAGATATAGAGAATTTGACATGAACAGCTGCTGGATTTCCCCACTGCTGCATTTGCAAAGAAATTCAATTTCAAGTTTTTATTACATTCAGGGTTCTTCCTCCATTTTATACTCACAAGAACCCTGTTAGGTAGGTTATGGCTGAGAAAGTGACTTGCTCAATGCCACCCAATGAGTTTAATGACCAGCAGGGAAGAAACTGAACCTGGGCTAATACTGTTAAGTCTGACCAGTATTGTAGGACTGCAGCATCCTACATAAAAACATGCTTGTCTTAATGCATAAATGAAAAAGACATACCTCGCAGAACACCAATAGCTTCAGATTTGCATAAAAATATTTTGAACAGGCTTCCTCATACCCTTATGCTGTCCAGAACATTTAGCAATGTCTGATTTGCCAATCACATTTAAGATTAATAAACAGCTAAAATGCTTCTATATAAGAGTGACTCACTGATTAAGCATTAATTCCAGTAATTTTAGGACCCTGTATGCTTCCTAACACAATAACATTCAGTACTTTCATTTCACTCACTGTCCTATAACATCTCTTGATGACTTAATACATGTGGATTAATCCTTTGTGCATTTAGTTCAAGCAAGCTACTACTTGGATTAGGTTGAGCTCTTTTATATTTCATTACTGCAGAACAGGAACAGTTTCTTCCTCTTCTGCACATTTAGTACTCCCTCAGTTTCCAGTTCCTACACAGCACCATGCTGAAAAGGAAGCCTTTACATCACCTCTGCCCAGATTATACACTTCTTCCCCAAGAGCCTGGGCACTTCCTGGTTGAGGAAGATGCAAAGCTTCCATTTCAGATGTGACAATGTGGAGAGAAGGTGGTGTTTTGTGCTCCTGAACAGCTACAGTATATTCAAGGCAATTCTCGGCAAAGATGTATCAGTCATTCTTCCACTTTTACTCTCAGCCACAAAGAGCATGTTCTCCCAGGGTCTCAGCAGCTACAATGGTTTCCTAACATTGTAGGGGTTGGCTTTCTCTCAGAGTCTAAATGGCTTTGCCTCAACGTGAGACCACCCTCTTGAGACTGGCAACCTAACATCCATACAGGAAGAATGGATGCATGAAAAGGCCTTTTAAGTATGTACTGAAAATGCTGCAAGGACTTTGCTAAGGCAAGTCTCTATCAAATGGAGCAATCCAATATTTTAAACCTTTCAAATAATTGTAGTTTACACACCCTAAATACACTTCCTTGAAACCACAGTAGGGATTGATCAAGCAAGCAATTGCTACAAACTGGAAAAGGCACCAGGGTTCTTCCTCCTCTGGTCCAATGCTCAAACAGAATGTCAAAAAGAGAAAGAACTGCAAAGGAATGCCAGTCACCTTACTCAGAATGAAGAACCATCAATACCAACTTAAAACACTCACCTTCTGCGATCTCTGTTTCTGGATCCAGACCTAGCAAAAAGCAACATTTGTTTCAGGTAAGTTAATGATTGACAGAGTTGTGGGAGTCTTTCAAATGGACACATATTCTTTTAGAGCAAAATAACACTTAGGAAAAGAATTCTAAACATTAGGACTTAAAGGCCATGGATGATAAATATGTTAAAGCTGAATCAGTAAAACGGCTATGAAACAATTACATAGGGTGGCTATTTGATAAAGCAAGGCAGGTTTAATCACCTTTTTCAGGGAAAAACCCTAGCTGTTCGGACAGTTGTGTCATTTGCTGCTTGCCTGCAGGGCCTTCCAAAGCCCACACCTGACATTTTCTCCTGACTTGAGGGGAAGCAACCAGAATATATGGCCCTGACGTGCCATGCACTGCCCACAATTCAAGTGTGACTAATGCCTGCTCTTTGCCACACCATTTCTTTGAAAACTTCACACAGCAGCACAAGCACCCTTAAGTCACAGCGCCACAACCTTCCACTGAAAATACTTCCTAGAGTTCACTCACCGTTGACCCGTTCTCTCCTCTCGCTCTCTTTCTTCTCTCCGTCTCAACCGGTCCTGATTCCTCTTCTCCTGTTTCTCTGCCACAGTTTTCTATGATAAAGATAGCAAACCTTGTTAAACGCGGCTGCGTGCTACAACACAAGTCTGACAAAAAAACACAATTCATCCTCTACCAGGATAGTTCTCCAATGGCTTGAGCACGAGACGGACAATGCTCCAAGAGCATATTGCTCATGTAACCACATTTCACAGGAGCCATGAAGCAGGGCTACAATCCCCCCTCAGGGCATCTGTACAGCAGAGATTGAACCGTGGCCTTCTGCATCCAAAGCAGCTGCCCCACACCAGAGTTCTCACCCGCAACTGGTCCAGCTTCTCACGAATCTGAATGAAGCCCAAGTGCAATTTGCCTCCAAAGTGATCAGCAAGTCGGCGATCGTTATCATGGAGACCAAGGTATGCAGAACAGACCTCACAGACACGCAGCTTCTGTTGCTGGAAACTGGATGCAGGCATAGAATTGCGGTATTCCTCCTATGGAAGATCAGACAGCTGAGTATCAATACTTCCATAGTGTTTATCTCTTATGCTTTCATCTCTCCACCCTAAACAATTTCTCCCAGCTTATTAACACTGTACTCCTACCCTAGGGACGCAGGCGGTGCATTGTCTAAACCACTGAGCCTAGGGCTTGCCGATCGGAAGGTCGGAGGTTCGAATCCCCCATGAAGGGGTGAGCCCCCGTTGCTCAGTCACAGCTCCTTTCAACCTAGCAGTTCGAAAGCACGTCAAAGTGAAAGCAGATGAATAGGTACGGCTCCAGCGGAAAGGTAAATGGCGTTTCTGTGTGCTGCTCTGGTTTCACCAGAAGCGGCTTAGTCATGCTGGTCACATGACCCGGAAAAACTGTCTGTGGACAAACGTCTGCTCCCTCAGCCAGTAAAGCGAGATGAACGCCGCAACCCGAGTCGTTCGCGACTAGACTTAACTGTCAGGGGTCCATTACCTTTACTTTTTTACTTACCCCAATATACTAGAAATAGTAGCCACTATCAGTTAATCCTGCACATATTGTGTTAGGATGCTAACACACCTTTACATAGAAGGATTTCCATACGAAGTCATGGGGAAATGTTTGGAAATACTCAGAAGCTGTCATTTCAAGCAAGGAAGACAGTAATTAGTCATCAGTATTTCCTCACCTAGTTTTGCTTTGAGACAACTCCATATTTTGCTTTAGTGTGGTGCATTTTTGCAGCTAAAGCAGACTAAATAAACAAATTGTAACTTTTGTACAGAACATTATCAATATGGAGAGAGGGAAGCAAACCTCTGCTTCTTTCTTTTTTGCTCGGACTTTCTCGACTTCCATCAGTATCTTCTGAGATTCATCCACATTCCCTTCAGCCCCCAGCTGCTCGGCTTTAGCCAGAAGTTTGCCAATGTCTTCATTTAGTTCATGCACCTTTTCTGCCTGGAGAGGAGAGATGGTGTTTAGTGATCAAGGGAATAGATTGCATCTTTGGCATCTGACTTTGGTCTGGGCACACAAGGAATTTAATGGCCCCTCCAGCTGTTTGGGGACTACAATTCCCATCATCCCTGACTACTGGTCCTGTTAGCTAGGGATGATGGGAGCTGTAGTCCCAAAACAGTTGGAGGGCCAGGTTTGGCCATCACTGGTCTAAGGGAAAAGTTCTTGTGTGAAAGACTCAAGGGAAAATGGGGTATTCCCTTCTAATGCTGTATACTAACTTGAAGCCTGTTTCCTTTGGCTTTGCAATGCATTTCAAGCTACCTTGAGCGCCTTTTGGTAGAAAAGCAGAACACATACTGAAACAAAAATGAACCGCTTATTTAATTGTTTATTAATTTATAACGTACTTGGAAGGCAAATGCCTCATCCAAGTAATCTTTTAAGGTAAGCTAACTCTATCCCAGGAGCTGATAGTGAATTTGTGATTGCAATATCATTGCAGCACCAGCCTTCTTTACTCTGACCTTTGAATTTTCAAGACCCACTCCATCCTTGTGATGCCAATGTTTTAAATTGTTTATAATACTGTGTTTTAAATTGATGTAACCCACCCTGGGATCTTACAGTGAAGGGCAGTTAAAAAAACCTAAGGGCTGGTGGGGGAGGGACAGAACAAAGCCCAGCAAAGAAACCAAGGCAGCTGCTAAAGGACAGCAGCCTCCACTTCCTCCTCTGCAGCAAAGAAATACAGATGCTCCTGCAGTTCTCTGATCCTCCTTTTCCAGCCCCCATCAGGCTAGTAATATTTATTTATTACATGCTGGTAAGTGTTGCGGGCTTATTTATAAGGCTGGGGAAATTGTATTACATTTTATATCGCACCTCGACATTGAGCTTCAAGGCAGCTTGAACTAAGGAGCACCCAACTTAAAGAGCACATGTATTTAACCTTTACGGTAGGACCAGCTTCTCACATAGATGCCAACTGAACTGTCTGGGAACATCTGGGGATGCAGCACTGCTGAAGCTGGGCAAGTATGAATAGAATTGGTCCAGTAAATCAGAGGAGACTGGAAGCCCCATGTAACAAGATAGGATGGCAACTGCTGATACAGCCTTTGAGAAAGGAGGCTGCCACACATGATTTTGCCCGACTGAAGTACCTTTGCAGCCACTTCAGCACTGATCTCTTCCTGTGTTTCTGCAAGTCGTTTCTTTGCCAGTTCAGTTCTTCTGTCACACTCAGCAATGAAGGATTCCAAGTGGTCCATTGCCTACAGATGTACAAACAAACAAAGCTGACACACATATAGGAAGGGTGTATGCATAGAACGTTACTTCAATATGCTTTTCCCTGTTGGAAGAGATGCCCCAAGATGAACACAATCCTCTGGTTGGTATTTCAGATCAAAACTGATAGTGACAGTAAAGGGCAGATGAAAGCAACTGATGGTGAGGTGGGAACAAGAGATGTTTCTTCAGGATAAAGCAAAGGTGTGTTTAGAAAACCCATTTCTTCAGAGCACAAAGCAATATCCTAATGCTGTTGTTGTACATCAAATTATTAAACCCTAGCAGAGATGCTAGTTTGTTTAGTTTTATATAACAAACACCAAGAATGGCAAAATGGCAACAAAGACATTTTTAGGTAGAAGTTTAAAATAACTGAAATACTATTTACCCTGCTCTTATAATAGAATTCTTAGGTACAGCAGAGGATATATTGAGCTGGTTTCCTCAGAAGAAAGAGGATAGGGCAACTCTGCTCAGTTAAGCATCTACTGGATAGGACTGATGGGAGCTGTAGTCCAGATCATCTGGAGGGCACCTGGTTGGCAAAGGCTGCTTTAAAGCAGTGTTTCCCAACCTTTGGTTTCCAGCCGTTTTCGGACCACAATTCCCATCACCCTGGACCGCTGGTCTTGCTAGCTAGTGATGATGGGAGTAGTAGTCCAAAAACAGCTGGAGACCCAAGGTTGGGAAACACTGCTTTAAAGAGCTACAAGCTAGATTTAGCTCAGTGGTATTGATTACGAGACCAGTGGGCTCCACTCTGATCTCAGAGTGCAGGCCTCAGTGACTGCACCTGTTTTGGGCAGGGCAGAAGCACATCACATTATCAACGATAATTGAATCAACAATATAGGAATATCTATATTCCTATAAAAATAAACACTACGCAGTCTGCAAATTAACCAGCAATTGTTTTATGGTCTTGTTGCATTGGGATTATTTGGAGCCAGTGCCCAGCATGACAACTTTGCTCTGAAGAGAAACCCTAGACACTTTGTGTCTAGTAACAAACTGCTCATTAAAATCTAGAGTGCAATGTTCTAAGTCTCTGTCTGACAAGCACTAGTTGTAACTCTACATAGTTCAGAAATCACTGTTTTGTGAACGGTATAGAAAACTTCTGCTAACCTTTGCAGGAAGCTTACAAAGGAAAATGTCACAAGATTAGCGGGAATATCAGACTTACTGTTGCCCAATCTGATACCAGCATTTCATTACTGGGGAAAAACACAAAGCACTTACGTCCAACTCAAAGAACAGGTCCCTCTCTTTACTTGCAATTTCATAATCTGCTCTTAGTGCCAAATCATGAATTTTTGTACACTCTCCAAGGTCCATGCGCTGTTGAGAAGGGGGAAAAGAAGACAAAACAACCTGAGATCTTTACATTCATGTGAAAATATGATTAGGCTTATAGGAATGCATGAGCCAGGTTTGGAAAGGTGAAAAAAGTAACTCTACCTTATACATGTTCATTTTGAGTCAGATGACATTAATATATATGGGTTGTATCCAACTAAGTTGGATACTTAAAAGTATACATCACAATTAATGAAAGTCGTGTTCATTCATTTCAACGGGTCTACTCTGAGTAGGAATGACACTAGATACAGCCCTACAGCTTTAAAATAATATACATATTTAAAAGGGTTTTGTATTCTTTTTAACCATTTAAAATTCATTTGGTGTACTCCATTGTGGGCCAATTATGCACTTCTGAAACATGCCAATTATATTCTGCTATATGTATTAATGTTCTGTGTATTTTTTGTTAAATAAAAGAAGGTTGAGTTATTTGCTGATCCACATTTTATATGAAATTGTCACAAATAAAAGGGACACACATTACTAAGAACATCTTACTGCTTTTCCTTACGATGTCCCCTTTCACATCAGCTGACTCGATATATTTGAATTCTGCTGCCCAGGTAACTACTTGACTGCTGCCCATTACAGATAAGATTAAGAGATCAACTTAGCTACCTCAATTTCATAACCAGAACACTTAAGTGTGCATGTAGAGTTTTTCATAATGTTTAAGTAACATCACACAGAATTCCACTGTACTCCAAATAATATGTTCCTGATTATTAGAGAAACGGGAGGTTGCCAGCTTGACACCACTTGGGGTTTTTGAGTTTGTACACATAGCTACACAGAATGATTCCACGCAGGATTTAACTGTTAAACCATATATTCTGTAGCACCATCAGGAAGGGTACTTACCGTTCCTGCTAAAATATCGTGAGGGCAACAATCCAGAAGGTGGCTCTTGCAGACTCGTTCATCTGTGAACTTCACCCTTTGCCTCGTTTCATCTCCTGAAATTCATGTTTGATTATAAATATGGAAAAAAAAACATTTAAAATGCTAAGCAAGGTAAACTGTGGTAAGTTTCTATTTCGCCTCATTATGCAGATAAAAATACTTCACGAACCCCAGAACTGCTTGAAGAACTACAAAGCCATTAAGTCGCAGAATATTCATTTTTCTTTCACAGCTGAGAATCGAAGCAAGTATAGCATTTAATGTCACATGCACCACTTACTAAGAATGGTGCTGACCACAAGAATGCCCGTAGCCAGACATCTATGTAAAATGACAGTAGAGTCAGCCAAGGATCCAGACCACAAAGAATTTTCTTCTGCATGGAGAAGGGTCTGGAGATATCAAAACCTGTGCTCTCTGAACACCATGAACAAAACAGATCAACACCTGGGAATTTTAATAAGCAGCCATTTATTAATTCACTGTCTTTTCAGTTAATGCTGCTGCCTTGTACTGTTAACAAGCAATGAGGTGCCACAGGGCCACCAGACGTATTTTGGTGTTGACCTGAAGAGTATAATTTGTTTTGCCCCTCCCCTTCCCCGCCCTCAGAAAACATTTCTACATTTGGGAGCCACTTAAAAACAAGCAAAACCAACAAGAAAAAAGGGAAGTTAGTTAATACACACTGCGAGCTCCAACATATACTATACCCATCTGCCTTCTTCAAGACCTCAGCTGCAGAATTTTTATGCCCGCTGTTGAAAAGTTTTAAAGGAAAAGTTTTCTTGCCCACACCTGCAGTAAGGAAGTCAGGGGAATGATACATAAAAAGTAAAGGCAAAGTGGTAATGGTATGTGACAATTGTTTTTTAAAAGCTAGTCTGTGTATGACTATAGATCAGGATTCGCAAGCATCCAGGATTAATGTTGTGTCTACTAAAAATGTATTTTTCCCTTTTTTTCCTTTCTTTTCTAAGCTACACTTTTAAAGTTACTTGTGAAAAAAGCAGCAAACACTTTTTTTGTTATAACAGCTTTAAAAATTGGTTGTGACTCACGGCTCGATGAACATGAGGCTTTTCTGCAACTCCCTTGCAGATTGATGTAGGCAGGCAAAGATACACTGAACCTTTATAAATAAAATAGAGGGGCCACAATTGTTCAGTTTGTATGAAATAAAATTATGGGAAGCAATTCAAAAGCAACTCAAATACACAAAGAAAGAACGAGCACTTATTCATTTACGAAACAAAGTGCAAAAAGTTATCTGCAGAGTTCTGCAAATGTGCCAGATAGTTGCCGATTCAAGTAAGGAAGCAGATACAAACCTTGACAGGAATGCACAGCTTTTCAAGGGGATGTCCTGGGGCTAGCACTAAAGTCCCGTTTCCATACAGAACAGGCCTACCTTCGTGCTTTTATTCACGAAGCATTACCTCTACAGGCGAGTCTACAAAAGAAAAGCCTCACCACATAAGACCAGAAAAAGTCAGGCTTTCAGCTCATGATACAGAGCTAAAACCAACAAATCTGGCATTTAAAGCCTTATGTTTCAGGCAGCTTTAAGTGTCCAAGTTATGGGATTTAATGTAATATGTATTCCTTGCCAATGCTTTCCAAGAGTGCCCTCGAAATGTACTGAACACACTAGATCCTAAGTTACTCTAAAACACCTGATTGTTTCCCTTATACCATCTGTAGCAGTGTTTTAGGCTACTGAGCAGAGGTTTCCAGGAATTAGATGTTACGTCAAGAACTACGCCACCAGCTTTGGTGGGCATTTGGACTGGCACACCTTGAAGGCATGATAATGCAGGTGCTGGGGACTCGGCTACCCTGCTTAGGCACCTTCGTCCAAGCGCTGTGCTTGGTGACTCTCACCACCCACATTGCCATGACCAACAATCACTACACTGGCCAACTTGCCACACAGCCAAACTTTAAACTGGCCTGACAGGTTTGACTTCCAGCCAGCTAGCACCCAGCTGTCTTTTGCTATAAACTCTCCATATGGCTCAGCAGTAACATTGGCTCAGGCCAATGCTCTATCTACTCCTTCAAACATCCAGTTTCCAAACTGCCCCTTGGCAAACCTACAAGGAGGCCACAAAGGCAGGGAGCCCTCACCCCACCCTAAAACAGACACAAGCACTTCTGGCATTAAGAGGTAGACTTCTGCTGGACTTGGAAGCTCCACTTACCTATCCTGGCTATCTGAAAGAAGCAATTCAAAGTTGCTCCTCATTTTAGATGCCCATCAGCCAAAAACGTCCTTCTTATCCCCTTATCATATAATCCTAGGATAATCCCAAAGCCCCTCTCTTACAAATATGAGCAGGGAGGGTCTTTTCCTAGCAGGGTACAACGCAAAGGCTCAAGCCAAGGACGTGTGAAATAAAACGCGCGAGGCGATGGGGGGGGGGCGGTCGGGCAAGAGCGCCTCTGAGCATATGCTAAACGCTCACTCATCCCTGGCCTCCCAGAAACGGAACCCCTCAAACCTTATGGATTTATTAAGAAGAGAAAGAGCCGCTGCCTCTTTCAGGGGATGGAAAGCCTCAGTTTGCAGGGGAAGCGAGGCCCTGCTGTGGGAGGGCCTGAGGCGAGGCCCCGCCGATGGACACCGGAGGCGGCGGCGGCGACGGCGAGAGATGGGTCGCCTCCTCAGCCACGGCGGCGCCCCGCCACTGCAGGGCCCCCCAAGGGCTCTGTCCGCGCCAGGCCCGAGGCGCTCGCTCGCTCTCTCGCTTCCTGCAGGCCCCCGCCTCGCCCGTCCCTACTCACCGTCCCGGGCCGTGCCCATCAGCTGGTCGAGCAGCGCCCGCATCTGGGCCTGGGCCGACATGGCGGCGGCGGCAGCTACGAGGTGAGCCGAGAGCGCGGCGGAGGGGAAAGGGGGGTGGCGTCTCCTTGGAAACCAGGGGAGCGCGGCGGGGTGGGGGTGGGGAGTGGAACAACGGCGCGAGCCCAGGCCGCGGAGACCGACCCTAGCGCGGCCTCTCACTCGCTACAGCCTGCGCAGGGCACGATGGGAAGTGGGGGAAGGAGGAGGCAGAGGCGGAGGCGGCCGCCGTCTTATTCGCTTTCCTCCTCCAACCGCCAGCGCGAAAGGCACTCTGGGGGTTGTAGTCCGAGCCGAGCCGGAGCCCGCAGTGCACGCTGGTTGCTGCAGTTCGGTTCTGAGCGGAGCCTGGACTCGCCGCCAGCTCGTTGGTTTTGTTTATATCTTCAATGTTTTTGATTTTTGTCGGTATTTTTAATATGAACATTTTATATTTTTGTGTATTTATTTTTAAAATGTATATCCTGGCCTTCTTCCCAAAGGACTGTTTTGTGCAGACTGCTTAGATATTTTTTTTATGATTAACCTTCATACAAACGTGGTCCGAGTACAATAAATAATGTTCATTTTAAACATGCAGGGCAGTGCACTCCGAGATTTGAACACAAGGCCTCGTTGCACCTTGTCGACTTGAAGGAAAGTCCCTGTATAAGACAATCAATCAATCATTTATTGTATTTGACTAAAAGCAATTGCAAATCCAGTTACAGAACCAGCAAGTCCAATAAAACGTATTAAGAAAGATCCAGAAATAACCATTTGCAATAAATCAAATTAATGAATCCCCCGCACAATCTATAGCGTTGTCTTTTATGTGACTAGCACGGATACTTTTAGCGGCTTACAAGACTATCGTGCATTCATTCTGCCAGGGTTTCATTTCAGCCTAGACATCTTACCAGGACTTCCCCTGCCCCCCTCCTCTCTGTAACAAGACACGTCTCCTACTTAACAGAAGACAGTAACTTTATTTGAAGGGGGAATCGGAGGACAACCCTCTGGTGGGTCAGTACACCATACAAGGCAAAAAAAGAGAGAAATGGATCCTGCAATGCATGTTTTGATTAAGGGTGAGCCAGGATCTGAAAAGGATTGCTGGTCTACTTGAAGGCATCCTCTATGAATAAGATAAAAGAACCACTCGAAGGGAGAGCCAGGAGGCATCTTGAATTTGCAAGCTCCTGGGCAATTGACTGAATAGGCACCGTGGTCTTGTGGGTGGCTATAGGGTCCCCACTATGGGAAGATGTATTGTATATCTAGTTACATGGTGTTATGTACTGAAGTTCTCACCCTGGGCCAGCAGGGGGATACTGTAGATAGTTCAGGTCCACATATGCAAATAAGGGATCGAAAGTGACATTCAATGATTGGATAGTTACAGAAAATGGTTACTGTTGCATTCTAGTGGAGCTCTATATAAGCAGGCTGACTGAACTCTTCAGTTCAGTTCTGTTCTGGCCTGTGAATAAACAAGAGCTGTTTGAAGAATCACTGTGTCGTCTGATATGTTCACCCACAACTTAACACATTGCCTCTATAGTAATTGTACCTAAAGTTGCCTCTGTACATATATGGGAAATCAACACATGCACTTGCAAATTGGCATCCTCTTTTTTGATGAAGCGTTTTCTCATTTCTCTTCAATGCAAAGTGGTCTCCCTACTTGTGAACGCAGGTAGCAAAAAGCTTCCAATGTGTCAAACCTCCTTGTGAGTATTTTAAAAGATTGTAATTGAATTTGGGGCGTGCTTCATTCCCCTTCTCTCCCCACCGCTCCACCCCCCTTAACCTGGGCTTGATGAACTGCATCAAGCTGTAGCAGCATCTCAGACAGCACAGGTGACAGTAATCCAGGATGTGCATCTCTGCTTCTAGACAGCAGAGGGCATTGACGCCAATATTCTATTCTGGACACGTCAACAGCCTCTTTCTGCAAAAGAAAAATGAACAGAAGAAAAAACAGAGTGACTTGTAGCATCTTAAAGACTAAGGATGGCACAAGCTTCCATGCAGCACCTTGGAGATTTATTACAGCACAAGCTTTTGCGGTCTAGAGAGCCCACTTCACCAAACAGAAGTGCTATCAGTTGGCTTCTATTTGTCTGTCTACCTATCTGTCTCCTTTGAAATCTTACTGTTAGGGTGGCTTTGAGTGGCCTGGGGACCAACATATTCTGCCAAGGATTTCTCCATGTTGCCATTTTTAGTACTGGATTTATGTCAATTGATTCTATTGCACAGTAAATGGCATGTTTGTCTTACACAAGCAGCTAAAAGGTCTTGTTGACAGGCAATGAAATTTTATTTCTTTGTCTGTTTAAAAGCATTTCTAAGCCAATTAATTAAAAACAAAACAAAACATTCCTAAGCGATATACAAAAACTTTTCTTTTTCTACAAGAGCACTTTCAATTATATATATATATTAGTACCTGTAATCCACACTTTCATAAAAATATATCATGGTGGTTTACAACATACAATATTATAATAAAAAAAACCAGTAAAAGTATCTGTTAAAAAAAACCCAACAGTAAAAACGTCAATAAAACTTCAGTAAATACTGACGGGTTAAAAAGAAAAACGATTGTATTGTGAAGGCCTGCCTAAGCAATACAGTTTTCAGATGACACCTGAGAGATGGCAGGTACAATTCCTGCCAAATCTCCAGAGGCAGGGAGTTCCACAGGGCAGGACCTGCCACAATAAAGGCCAGCCAAAACACAGGGGCAAGTGGGGAGCTGTCACCAAAAGCTGTCAGTGATCAGGATGGCGCATAAGGAAAATATAGGAAGCTGCCTACGCTGAGTCAGGCAACAGGCCCATTTAGCTCAGTGTTGCCTGCACTGACTGGCAGTGGCTGTCCAGAAATTCAGGGAGGAGTCCCAGCTCTACCTGGAGACACTAAAGATTGAACCTGGGGCCTTCTGCACGCAAAGCAGTTGCTCTACCACTAAGCTGTGGCCCTACTTCTACAGAAATGTATGGTATGGATCTGTTCTCATCCTGAAGCAAAGTTCCTAACCCGAGGTACTATTTCTGGGTTAGCGGAGTCTGTAACCTGAAGCGTATGTAACCTGAAGCGTATGTAACCCCGAGGTACCACTGTATTGCAGGGGGTTGAACTAGATGACCTGCAGCGTTGGTCCCTTCCATGTCTACAATTCTGTGATTCTCTAAGCAAGCTCCGCCACATTCTCAGGCACGCATCCCAGCGACCAGCGCACTAACTCTTTGCTCTTACGGTCCCGGTGAATACAGGCACGCCAAACGTTTTCCACCTACTGCTCCTTCTAATGGGCAGAGTTGTGCTGGAGTGCTTGTGGGGTTAATGGTGGGTGTCATATTATTGCAGCTCGTTTGGAGTGCTGACATATTGGAGCTATTGATTTTTCCTCTACTCTTGCATGGAGACCAAGAAGAGGGCCCAGAATCCTCCTATAGGGATCAGGGAGCTGCAGCCCCTGACCCACAGCCACCCTGGCTGCTGCTGCTTTCCAGAAGCCACTGCGGTGTGATAAGGCAGAAGCTAGCTTCGAAGAAAGGTGAACGGTGTTTATATTTTTTTTTAATGAGAAAACCCGAGGTCTCGCCACGGAAGCATATGCCCAGACAGATGCTCTGTGGCCCCATATTGCGCTGTCAAAACTCTCTTTATTAGTTGGAGGAATGGTGGCGCGGAGTGGCTGTCTCCTAACAGGGGGAAGTAGAGAAGCCGATCTCAGTGAGTTGGCACACAGCTGCCTCTCTTGCCACCTTCCCCTTTGCCATTTGTCAGCCAACCCACCCACCAAGAGCGGGACTACAGCTCCCCAAGGCCGGCGAAACCCAAGATGGTGAAGGCAGGTGCCCTTTCAAAAAGGGGAGCATGATCCCCACCATCCTTGTCCTCTTTTTTAAAAAAATATATATTAACAATTTCAATATAACAACATATCAAAGCATCTTATATTCATCATTTCCCCATTTCCCCCCAATTCCCCATCAACCCCCCCTCCCCCCCAGGCTTCCCTCAGCTCCTCTCTCTGATTTCTCAACTCATATTGTTCTCTGCATACTGTAAAATTGTATTAATCCTCATATTATCTATCCACTACATTAGCAATCAAAAGATTTGTGTATGTTTATTCAAAACCTGCCAAGGAGTCCAGTTCGTTTTGTTGCCTTTTTAAATAATATGGGAAAAGTTCCCATTCTTCTTTAAAGTCACAGTTGTCTTTATCTCTCAGTTTGTATGTCAGTTTAGCCATTTCTGAATAGTTCATCAATTTCTCTTGCCACTGTTCTTTTGCCGGGGTTTCCTCATTCTTCCATCCTTGTGCTATCAAGGCTCTTGCCGCTGTTGTTGCATACATAAATAAGTTCTTTGTTTTCTTTGGCAGGTCTTGTCCTACAATCCCTAACAAAAATGCTTCTGGGTTTTTTTTTAACAAATGTCATTTTAAACATTTTCTTCAATTCATTATATATCATTTCCCAAATTTTTAAAATTTCTTTACATTCCCACCACATATGATTTTATTATTATCCTAGTCCTCTTGAGGCACTGGAATCTAAGAGCACAGTTTGTTAAGAGTGCTGGGAACTGTAGTTCTTTGGGGAGATAATCTGCAGCTCCCAGGATTCTCCCAGGAGGGAGCCATGTCCTTTAAATGTGGTTTAAAGTATGGTGTGTATTCTGCTTCAGATGAGGGGCAATTATGTCTGTCTCTCTGCCTGCCTGCCTGCCTGCCTGCCTGCCCGCTTGTCTGCCTGTCTCTCGCACGGTCCCTAACCAGGTTTTCTCAGTTGCGGGCCTTTTTCTATGTTCCATACAAGTGAATGGAGCAAGGTGTCCAGTACAGCCCTGCCATGAAGTCACATAAGGCAGCTGCTTCAGGTGATGGACGTAGGATGCAATT